CGGTATTCCAAGCCTCCCATTCCACTACAAGACAGAATATGTCAATATTGTGCTAATACCAATACTACTAAAGTAATAGAAAATGAAATGCACTTCCTTATTGAATGTAATCAGTGGGATGACACAAGATTTGAATTATTCAGTAATGCCACTAATAAATCCCTGTTCTGTAAAATATGAGAACTCTCAGAAGTTAGCATTCCTTGCTCAGTGTGACACATGCAAATCATTGCGACTGTACTTCAAACAGAGAATCCGCTAGATTTTATGGGCGCTTCAGTGCACACATGTCTGATGAGGTCAATGCGATTTTATTCAGACTGTTATTGTAATGGTATTGTTTTAAAGTGCCTTGTTGGCTGGGCTTCATACTTTATTTATTGTATTTTAAAATGATCATGATATGATGTGTGACACACAAATAAAATATATTTCTTCTTCTTCTTCTTCTTCTTCTTCTTCTTCTTCTTCTTTTATAGCATAATTAATTCTGCTTTAAAACATTATTGAACCTGGCTGGTATTCGAGTCTTGACAGGGACATGCATGTACACACAACGAGTAGTCTCGACAGGAGCATGCATGTACACACGACGAGTAGTCTTGACAGGGACATGCATGTATACACAACGAGTAGTCTTGACAGGGACATGCATGTACACACAACGAGTAGTCTTGACAGGGACATGCATGTACACACAACGAGTAGTCTTGACAGGGACATGCATGTACACACAACGAGTAGTCTTGACATGGACATGCATGTACACACAACGAGTAGTCTTGACAGGGACATGCATGTACACACAACGAGTAGTCTTGACAGGGACATGCATGTACACACAACGAGTAGTCTTGACAGGGACATGCATGTACACACAACGAGTAGTCTTGACAGGGACATGCATGTACACACAACGAGTAGTCTTGACAGGGACATGCATGTACACACAACGAGTAGTCTTGACAGGGACATGCATGTACACACAACGAGTAGTCTTGACAGGGACATGCATGTACACACAACGAGTAGTCTTGACAGGGACATGCATGTACACACAACGAGTAGTCTTGACAGGGACATGCATGTACACACAACGAGTAGTCTTGACAGGGACATGCATGTACACACAACGAGTAGTCTTGACAGGGACATGCATGTACACACAACGAGTAGTCTTGACAGGGACATGCATGTACACACAACGAGTAGTCTTGACAGGAACATGCATGTACACACAACGAGTAGTCTTGACAGGGACATGCATGTACACACAACGAGTAGTCTTGACAGGGACATGCATGTACACACAACGAGTAGTCTTGACAGGGACATGCATGTATACACAACGAGTAGTCTTGCCAGGGACATGCATGTACACACAACGAGTAGTCTTGACAGGGACATGCATGTACACACAACGAGTAGTCTCGACAGGAACATGCATGTATACACAACGAGTAGTCTTGACAGGGACATGCATGTACACACAACGAGTAGTTTTGACAGGGACATGCATGTACACACAACGAGTAGTCTTGACATGGACATGCATGTACACACAACGAGTAGTCTTGACAGGGACATGCATGTATACACAACGAGTAGTCTTGACAGGGACATGCATGTACACACAACGAGTAGTCTTGACAGGGACATGCATGTAAACACAACGAGTAGTCTTGACAGGGACATGCATGTACACACAACGAGAAGTATTATAAATCTAGATCTGGACGAGACAATACTGTCTCTGCCCCTCAAACACAGAAATTGCAGCCTTCATGCTAGAATCGGGGCGGTCGGGTAGCCTAGTGGTTAAAGCGTTCGCTCATCACGCCGAAGACCCGGGTTCGATTCCCGACATGGGTACAATGTGTGAAGCCACTCACCATGAACCACGCGCCCATTACGCAAATATGTTATTGATCAGATTATATACTTCATGGCAACACATATATTCATCATAATCTCCCCTGTGAGGATTGTTGACTAGCGTGTGACCCAGTCCACCTCGGCATGTTGTACGCGGTGACCAACTGGATCGGGCGGTCCGACTCCGCAAGCTGGCCGACAACGTGCCGTCGTACACTGTTCATTTGGGCAATCATGGGGATCACTTGTTTCGTTTTCATGGCGTTAAACATCAACTGGACCAACACCACTCATCAGTGACAAGGCAGCAGGTTTACTTGTTTGTCTTCATATCATACAAGCCCTCGCGATTCATTAATTGTGTCCTGTACCTTTTAATTATATTTCTAACGTTGGTGTTATTTAGTCATCAGCTTACTTACATGACATTCTTATCGCAAAAAGGTGTGGGATGATTTCGCTTATTTCAAAGTTACATTTGTGTGATTGAAAACGCTGGTGTAGGCCGTAGACTTCTTAGGCTCTCTTTATTAGGCCAAGGTATTGTCATATATTCCACTTATGGAATGTCACTAAGTGAGGACAATGCTTTGTGATGATTTCGTCAAATGTGTTCTAGATAGTTCACCAGCAGTGCAATTATATGCCCACAACATAAAGTGTGGGACGTTTTTGATTGATACAAAGTTCAATTTTTTAAAATGAAAAACGCTACAGGCCCTGGCTTCGCTTTATTGGCCCTTTATATTTCACATATTTGGAGGATGCTATTACAAAGTATAGATGAATTGTTGAGAACGCATGTGGTGTTCAAGTCTAGTGATTTCGTAACATGTTCTAGATGTTTTCATAATGAGATGTTGTTTACCGTTATCCCGCGATATGCCAAGGAGAGGCACGGGCCACCGAGCCGTGGATGCCCGTGCCTATAATAAAAACAGAAGATGAGATTGGGTTAAATGGCCGAGGGTGTGCAAGTACTAGTGGGCTACTAAGCTGCTAATTGGGTATACCAAAATGCTACCGTTGCCATAGCCACTAGCGTGGCCAACGGCGATTCGCAGCTAGCGCTGCTGGCCTGAGACTGCTACCGCTGTCCGGCCCCCACGGTAGCATATTTAAACGCCCTTCAGGAGCAAGTACTGCCGTGCCCTGGCCATGTAGCTGGATCGGCGGGGTTCTTGTGGGCTACACTGCTAGTAACAAATTAACTTGCTTCCAAATTAATACTCGTGCTTAAGGCTACCTGCTTTTCAGCGGGAACCTTTCCGGGGTTACCTGCTTCTCAGTGGGAACCTTGTCTTTCCCGACTTTTCAGCCGGGGAATCGTAAAATAACATACGTTTGGGCAAACAATTGCCACGTATATGGGCCCGGCGGCGGAAGTCGTCTTGTCAAGCGGTAGCTGACAGTTGGGTCCGCGGCGGTAGTCGCAGCGTGGTAGTTGCCAACCATTGGTAGCGTTTAAATATGCTACCGTGGGGGCCGGACAGCGGTAGCAGTCTCAGGCCAGCAGCGCTAGCTGCGAATCGCCGTTGGCCACGCTAGTGGCCATGGCAACGGTAGCATTTTGGTATACCCAATAAGCAGCTTAGTAGCCCACTAGTACCTGCACACCCTCGGCCATTTAGCCCAATCTCATCTTCTGTTTTTATTTTAGGCACGGGCATCCACGGCTCGGTGGCCCGTGCCTCTCCTTGGCATATCGCGGGATAATTACATTTAGTACTAACTACTAAATGACTTTATCGCGCGTATCCAAACCATTGGCTAATTACGTCCGTAACCCAATCACCCCTCGTAACTCAATCACCCCCGGGTCACCACTCTGCACCGTGCCCGGGGAATAACCCCGCGCAAGCATCATCCCGCCTTTGTTAACAGTCCATCATTCGCGCACCGCCCCTCTTCAAGTACACACGTGTTTCGCTGTATCTAATCGCTTGTGTGGGCGGACATTATCCTGCTGCAACGTGAAGTTACGTCCCTGCATTTGCAGAATAATAAAACATGATCTCGAAAGATGTCGTCCCGCCAGCGTACGCTATTCAAATTGCCACATTAAGCCACACCATACCATTACACTTTCTTCCCAAAACTGACGACGTCGAGTAATGCAAGCATCGCTAAATCGGTCCCTTGCATGACCATCAGAGCTGCCCAGATGAATCCTGGACTTATCTGTGAACAGTATACCGTCCCAGTCGTGTCTTCTGAACCTCAAATGTTGTCTGCACCAAGCTAGGAGTGCCTGACGGTGACCTGGAAGCAAAATTGGGCGTGTCGTTGGACGTTGTCGCCGGAGGTTGTGCTCTCTCAACCGGTTTCGTACGGTTCTTCCACTCATTGGTGTAAAGCCAGGAATAGTCCAAACTGTTAATGGGGCAGTTTGGTGTCGATTCCATAGATGCACTAACCACAAATGGTTGCCTTGTTGACGCGACGTCACACGTCGACGACCGACCCGTGGCAAGTCATGAGTATTCCCCTGATGAAGATGTTTTGCCACATTCTTGTTTGCAGCATACTTACCGGGGAAAGACTTTGAGATTGTTTTATGATCACCTGATAGCTTAACAATCATTGTGTGCATTGTTCACATTAAAAAACACGCGTGTGAGTGTCATGCTCCCAACAAACACGAGACTTCTAAATCGTGCGCCGTTTTTATTTAACTTTTATGAAGAAAGTTTCTTTTTTCCGTTTTGTACGGTAAGGTTTTCATGTCAAATCTTTACCTAAATCGTGACTGTTTGAATAGGATGAACACTGATGATGTATGCTAAAAATCATATATAACAGGTAATAGTCAACAATCGGGTAATATAATAAACATACCCATATATGCCACTTGAGCTTAATGACAGGTGTGTCGACAAGTACATATGTTCCGTGAACTGTAATAATACACATCATTACAGTGTACCTGATGTGTGGTGTTGTTGAGCAATACCCAAGTGTGATTATGATCGTACTCAACTTCCTGGTTTGAGGAACAAAATCCTTGCCATGGGTCAATTTATATCTTCATTTTAGTCACCATCAAGTGACGGGAGAATGTGTGCTATCTTACTTCCGTGTTAAACGCCAGGGTGGTTGCAGGAAAATCCTGCCTAGCTCACAGTCTGGATTTATTGCCGGCTTTACAGGATGACAGGTTTACCTTGTTCCACAGAGATAAAGATTTGTGATGTCATGTAAAGGGTGTACAGCAAAGATTTATATTGCATAAGTGTGATGAGTAAAGTATGAGAAGAAGATGCATGTGGTGACATAGCAATTCAGTAATGGATTTGTAAAGGCTGATCACCATGTAGAGTTATAGATGGATGTGCATCTACAGAAGGCTTGTGTTTTTTAGTGATATTTACATACTGATAGATTTGAATACATGATTATGAACCGGATTTCCCGATTCCTGCTTCTGTTCTTCATTGGCTGCATAGGACAAGTAGGTGGGTATATGTTGGAATAACAGGTTTTTAAAATCTACTTTGAGCTATCTAAACTTATCACTACAGTCCAGAGTATACCTTTTCGCAGAAAGAAAACACAAACTAATGTCGATATGTCCGCTTGGAAAGGTACAAAACTGTCTTTAGATTACAGTTTCTGTACGCGATTATGTCACATTGAAAATTAATAGAGAATGCGTGTCTTTGAAACTTCATACACGATCCGATTTGGATTTTTAATATGGAAATATATATATAAAAAAGGAGCTGAATTGTTTTCCGTGTGTATGTTGTGTGAGTAAGTGAGTACAGTTTAACGCCAATTGAATATTCCAGCAATACCACGCTGGGGGACACCAGAAATGGGATTCACACTGTATATTGTCAACGTTTATTGTTATGTGTACGGTTTCAAGTAAGTGGGTCATGTTTTGGAGTTTGGTTAAACGCCGTTGTTAACATTATTCCAGTTGTATTACGGCGTCTCAGACGTTTTCCATTTTGGTGAAACCCCCGAAAACGTGTACATATGGTGCCGACAAACCTAGAAACATGATTGGGGCGATACGGGATCCGAACCAACAATCGCAGGTTTCTGGCGCGCCAAAGGACGCAACTCCGCATATCGAATTGTGGCGCCTTAGACGACTGGGCCATCCGTGCCCCCCATGTACAGGTATGTGAGAGAGACTTACACGTATTCCGCACGGGTCCAATCTCAAGATCTGTTGCTCAAACTTATCAAGTATTGGAGTCAGATTCTCTCATTCAATTGGTGTTTGTCATTTGGGTCACGGGTAGGACAAGTATCATACTCGGATCCAGAGGTTGGAGGGCTTCGTGCAGACGTGTGTAGCCACTTTTGAAACATTGTAATCATGTTGATGCATTAATAACAAATAACGAAATCATCTGTTGACATGTTTTTAACACGAATACCTAATAGTATACTGAACAACAAAAGTTCCTGTGACATTGAATATTAAGATTTAATGCAAAGTTATGTTTTTTACCAAATCTGAAACAATTTCGGTTTGCAACAGATAAAAGACTGCTGTAAGTGTTCAAAGGGTTTCATTTGACATACTGGCTTCAGAAAATGCGTGATTTCATAAAAAAACATGCCAAAATGTCAATAGCGTGTGTGTCCACCTCTGGATGCGACGCAAGCAAGACATCTTCGCCTCATGGAATGGACCAGGCGTCGCACACAGTCCTGTGGGATATCTATCCATATCTGCTGGAGCATGTTTCGAAATTCCTGGAGTGTCTGTGGAACACGTGGTTGACGTCGAAGGCGCCGATCCATCTCATCCCACATGTGCTCGATTGGTGAGAGATCAGGGGAGCGAGCTGGCCAGGGGATTACATTCACGTTGTTTTGTTGAAGAGATTCCTGAATAAGTCGAACAATATGAGGCCGGGCGTTGTCATGTTGAAAGGTAATGCCTAGGCCATGACGACGCAAAAACGGTAGAACAACAGGGCCGATGATCTCGTCGCGGTAGCGGTGACATTGAGATTTCCCTAAACCACTATCAAACGGGTTCTCTGTCTTGCTGTAATCCCAACCCATGCCATAACGTTGCCGCCCCCGAACCGATCTTCTTCCATGACACAATTATTGACGTAACGTTCACATCGACGTCGGTACACTCGAATCCGTCCATCGCTGTGGCTTGGTGAAAACGAGACTCGTCAGCATGGCCGTCCAGCGTAGACGCGGTCTGCACCACTGTAGACGTGCTTGACGGTGGTTTCCTGTCAAAATGGGACGTCTGGCGGGTCTTCTGGCGACAATCCCTGCACATCTTAGGCGACGACGTACGGTTTGTGAAGATATTCGTCGAAGGCCAGGGATGATTCTTGCAGTCACCGTTGCTGGCTGGAATCGATTTCGTAGGTGTGTTGTTCGAATCCAGTTGTCTTGTCGAGTATTGGTTACGCGTGGCCTGCCACTCCGAGGATGATCTCTGACTGCAGTCGCCTGTTGCCAACGTTGCCATAAACACCAAATGGTGTTTCTGTGGACGTTAAATTGTCTTCCAACATCACGTTGACTCAATCCTGCTTCAAGCATACCAATGGCTCGCAGACGCTCATTTTCGGACAGGCGTGGCATTTCGTAATGTTGAATAATTGCGTAATTTGGTTGTTTTTCTGAGTGGTTGTTGTCAGCACGATGCTAAACAATGCATATGGAATCCCGTTAACGCACATGTTTTTTTTATACTCATTCTTGGGTAGTGAAATGTATGAGGCTTGCATAAAAATCAACATTTGCATGGAATGCATGCTTTTTCGTAGCAGTTGCGTTTTTGTGACTTGATTCCCTACATGTACTACAATATTGAAAACCAAACTTTACTTGATGGAAAAATACACTAAAACAACTTTTGTTGTTGAGTATATTAATTGACATTTGTGGGTAAACAACGCAAATTGTTTAAGAATTATTTTCATATTTTATAAAAGAAATAGGTGCACCGTTTTCCAAGAATCGTCGTATTCGTGCTTTGTTATGTGACTGTAAAGCATTTCCAACCAATGCACCTTTTCATTCCGCTCGAGATGCTTGTTCTTCGAGATTAACATCGACACGTAGACACATCAGAGAAAGCGTCACAACGTCAAGATGCACAGAATCGATACCAGACGTTTGGATCAGCTCCCCAGCGACATGCAGGTGGTCGACAGCATACCACCGCACAGCGGGAAGAATGGCTTCTCCTGATTGCAGCAAGATGTCATCACTTCGTGATTGCCACCACACTCAGAAATAGCGTGGGGAACATCAGTGGGGACAGCGTTTCAACTCAGTGCGTAATTGTGTCCGTGCGACTGGTCTCCAGTCAAGGAGGGCAGGCACTCGCATCTCACTGACCCGACATTACAGGCATGCCTGAAGATCACGTAAATTGGACGGACGAGGTCTGGGCTCTAGTACTTTTCATTCATGAATCGAGATACTGTCTAAACTTCACGGGTCGTCGTGCCCGAGTGTGGCGTATACACGGATTCAGGATTCCAACGTAGCCGAACATGGCGGCTATGGAGGGGGCTTCACACAATCATAATTTGGGGTGGGATCAGTAGAGCTGGGACACGATGACAGATGTGTGGTACAGGGATGACATTCTGGATATGTACGTGAAACCGTATGCTGGTACAATCGGACCGAGTTTCATCCCGAAGGACGATAACGCACGACCACATCGTGCCAGGGGCGTTGATCCCAAATTAGAGCAAGCGATCGTTGTCACGATACTTTAACCCAATGGCAATTATGTGGAACGAGCTGCAGATCGCCTCTCACGACGCCCTATCCACCCGGCAATTGTACAGGAACACGGCGATGCTTTTACATGAAGAATGGACCAATCTGGCAACCCTCCAGACACTTATTGGGATCATGAGACGACGGTGCAAGGCTGGATGACACACGCTTCTGAGAGGTTTTTGTTTGGACAGGGAATTTGTTTTCTTGATTTTTTTGACAACGGACTTCGTTCATAAAGCATGTCTTCCCACAACATTGTCCACAGATGTACACCACCTTGACGTATTACCTTCTAAAGCGTGATCCTTAGCAAACTTTGTGTAGTATATTATTTATGTTATGTCCTCGTTTAAAGGTGAAGCAGGTTCTTGCACTGAACTATCGACAGTTGGAGGTTCTAAGTCAAATACTGTTGAAGAACTATTTTTGGCAATACCGACTTTTGAATATTTGTCGAAGGTCGTAAAGTAAAAACTCTAGTATTAATATGTTTGGTATGCTGTGTAATACAAAACACATCGTGGTAATTTAACTTATCACAGTGTCAATTTTTCTATTTGATATTGAAATGAACGTTTCAAACCCCCAAATGCAAGGTCTCTAACAAGTTGATAAGAACGTATATATTCAAAGTCACAGGCTACTTCTTTCTGAGTGAGACCGTCTCCGTGGTCTAGTAGTAGAGCGTCCGCCCGGAGAGCGGAATGTCCGGGGTTCGATCCCTGGCCGCGTCATACCAAAAGACGTTAAGAGATTGTACTTGTTGTCTGGCGCTTGGCATTAAGGGGTTAAAGCAAGGACTGGTCGGCTCGGAGTCACTACACTGTGTCTGAGTGGGCTATTCATGTTAAACTGCGGCATGGTATCTCAGTGGCCTAGCACTATAAATCGGCATCAGTCCGGACTAGTACAAGCAGCCACAAACACACACGTGCATGCACGTCGCAAAATAAGTGCAATAATCTTGGACGCGACGTTAAACACAATTTCACCTCACCCCACCTTTCTGAGTGAAGAAGAGGCTACAGTGCGTCCTCATTCACTTGGTTCTCCATAAAGTAGCACAGCATCTGATCTATCGCCCGTCTTAAACCTGACGAAGTGTTTCGGTAGTTACCGAAAATATATAGCGTCTGGTACCTACAGATAGAATCCAGCTCAATTTGCCTTTATTTATAAGGGTACCAATATGCCGAGAGTATTTCAGGGTTAATACGGTCAATAAAATGAATAAGCGACTTTCTTTCACCGTATGAATTAGTTCTTGGAAATGTTAGAGGCAGTAAAAACAACAAAACGACAATCTTGAATTTGTTAAAGCATAATATGAGACAGAATATCAATAGTGAAAACAACAACTATTTATTGCTTACCAATAAGAAAAGCACTGTTATCCCTCTACATCAATTTGTAATTCATGTACAAACTTGAGTGAATTGTGCTTCCTACGATTGTGAATATCTTGTATTTGTAATTTTATCAGGTTCTGTAGTCCTGGCAAGTTTCCCTTTGACAGCAACAGACGGGGAACTCTTCACACTGATCTGCAGGAATATCACCACGGGGAAACAAGATATTGAGTGGGAAAGAGATGGTGAGATCGTCTTCACCACTGCACAGGGTTACGCCAGGCCCAGTGCATTCAACAAAAACCTCTCTTCAAAACGAGTCAATGCAAGCTGTGATAGCACACACCACAATGTGACTCTCAGGATAAACTCTACCTTAGACAATGGATCTATGTGGCAGTGTACGGATAAAGTACACAGCCAGAAGAGTAATAATATGACGATAAGTGAGTCATTAAACATGTCTTCTCTTTTAATTGATTTTCAGTCAGATTTCACAATACAATTTTCCAGTATTTGCTTAACTTGTGTCACGTACATATACCAAGACGTTTCTGCCAGGCGTTTGGGGGATAGTTGTTTTTCTAAAAATACATATTTACGGCGGAGACACAATGAAGTAGCGAGGTCAGGTGTGACGAAAAGTTAAATGTCACCTTCAAGATAATTGTACTTCCATACCGAGGTGTAACATGTACACCACACAGTATGTAGTCCTTCAGTTATCCGCATAATGCAAAGCGCTAGGCAGGGTATTAACAAGTACCAAACACCCATGGATGTGTGTGGTGGTGCGTGGACAATGTACAATCTCGCATAGTGCGCAAGATGATGATAAATGTAAGCGAAACATTAAACATGTATTTTTTCCAATAATTATTGATATTCCGTCAGAATTAACATGTTATTTTTCATTATTTGACTACCGTATTGTGTGTGTGTGTGTGTGTGTGTGTGGGGGGGGGGGGGGGGGGGGGGGCTTGTAGGGTCGTCCGATACAACAATACCTCGTCAAAACCATCACCCATCATTGGATTTATATAATGTTTCCAAGCGTGAAGTCGTATTTTCGTGGTGTAATGGGATGTGGGTAGGATAATATGTTATGGGACACGATTTTCTTATTACTTTTCTGCATTGGGAATGTGAAAATATTTAAATACTAAGAACATCTAGAAAAAAAGGCAACATTGACAGTGTATCAGAATGTATAGTTTATATAGAATTATACCCCGTGTCTTATAAATGGAAATCGTGATGTAATAAGACTGACAGGTGAAAACACGTCATTGCAGATGTCACGCAACTTCAAACAACATTAGCTTCAACATCAACACGTTCGACTTCATTCCCAACCACGGGAACCATAGAAATATCATCGTCCGGGACAACAGGTACATATACTGTGTATTCAGTTCAGTGGGTATGCGAACACACCATGATTGATTATGAAACACAGAATAGACATGAATTGCTCTCGTTTCAATTGGATTGTTAGGTCATCATGTTTCAATACTTAGAAGTAGATCGTCACAGTAGTATCCTAATGTATCGCTGATATTTTCATGACTGAACTGATTATAATGAGTCCATGCTGCATTGATAGACGCGTACGAGTGAAATGTCGACATGCGAGACAGCAATACGCGAAAAGCTAGAAAACATATTAAAAACATCCAGGTTTCGTTTTGTCATCTTCACGATAAAAATACAAGTATATGTCTTAACAATTTATCGGCAAACAAATTTATTAAAAATGACGTCAGCAAGTTACTAAGAAGTAAAGCTAAGCACTGGAATGTTTTAAACCCTCAAAATTAGAATAACACTTCAAACCATGAAACAATTTTTTCCCATTTTTTAAGGAACCGAGCGCATCAAATCTCAGTGAAACAGAGGTGTTGGCTGATGTTATTCATCACAACAAATATGATATCTCCGCTCTTAATAAAGATTTTACCCTAGACGCACTAAGTAAGGCTCTTAAATCACGGAAGCGTAATATATCGGCAGGTGTAGATCTCATAGAAAACGATCATCTTGTAGGTTTCTTTGATTCTTTAGAACAACTCTATGTTGACTTGTTAAATCTTGTCTTTTCTACTGGCAACGTACCAGATTCATGCTTAAACCAATATATAAGAAAAAGGGTGACTTGCAAGACCTGACTCTCATATGCCAAGTACTATTTCAAGCCGTCTTGGAAAGGTGTACACTGGTATACTTAACATAGATGAACACAATTCCTGGATATAAACCACATTAAATCAACATCTTTAGCAGGATTTCGCAAGGGGTCTCGACTATTTACAATAATAAATTATGGATATAAAGGTGCTCATTTTGAAAATGCTCAACGAAAAAGATACTGCGTTTTCATATATAGATCTTTCAATAGCATTTGACGGAGTTTGGAGAGCCAGGCTTTAGTTTAGAATGGCGGATCTAGATCTCGATACAGGGGGAAGATTTCTCCCCCTTCGTAAGAAATATGCACAGTCATATAATATTAAGTCATTTGTAAAGTATGACATTGAAATTTCAGACTTCTTCCTTAGTCACTCTTTGTCCGTCAGAGAGAAAATTCATCACCCCTGCTATTTTCAATCTTTCTGAATGATTTTGAATTATCTCCGGTATCAACTGAATGAATGCATTTGTGTTACAGTAGAAACTACTGACGAATTCACTGCAACGTTATGCCTTCAATTTCTGTTACTTTTATATGTAGATGACAATATTATTTGGGAATGATCCATTATCTTAGCAAAACGCATTAAATGCATTCTACTGTTAATGTGATAAATTGAAATTGGATGTCAAAATGGCAAAACCAAATGTTATTATATTTGACGGGGTACAGTTAAATCAAAATTATCCTTATACGTTGAAGAAAAAATAAAAAGTTGGAAATGTATGGTGAACTTGGTAGGATCCAACTCAATATGCAAATTTGTGTAATACTTATCAGCTTTTGGCATTAATTACATAACCCATGTACGCCCCTAAGTAATCACAAGTTACATTGAATTTCGGAGAAGCTGATAGCTATATAAAATCCACACAAAAATCCAGTGAATCAGCTTCGTTTGAAATATACAGAACTCCTACCCTCGTATTTCACTATGATCAATATGATGATGATAAGTGAATCATTAAACATGTCTTACTTAATTTAATTGATTTTCCTTTGGATTTCACATATTATTTTTCAGCATTTGAGTCGCGTATTATATATGTGTAGTCATCCGATACATTTACAGTATATCATCAATATCACGGCAAGGGTCACCCATCATTGGATTTATAGAAGTCGTATTTTCATATGGTGTGATAGGATGTGGATAGGATAATATGCTATGGGACATAATTTTCTTATTACTTTTCTGCATGGGGAATGTGAAAATATTTAAATACTAAGAACGTCTAGAAAAAGGCAACATTGACAGTGTATCAGAATGTAAAGTTTATATAGAATTATACCCCGTTTCTTATAAATGGAAAGGTGATGCAATAAGGCTTACAGGTGAAAACACGTCATTGCAGATGTCACGCAACTTCAAACAACATTTGCTGCAACATCAACACGTTCGACTTCATTCCCAACCACGGGAACCATAGAAATATCATCGTCCGGGACAACAGGTACATATACTGTGTATTCAGTTAGTATGTATGCGAACACACCATGATTGTTTAATAAACACAGAATAGACATGAATTGCTCTCGTTTCAATTGGATTGTTAGGTTATCATGTTTCAATACTTAGAAAATGATCGTCACAGTAGTATCCTAATGTATCGCTGATATTGTCATGACTGAACTGATTATAATGAGTCCATGCTGCATTGATAGACGCGAACGAGTGAAATGTCGACATGCTAGAAAACAATACGCGAAAAGCTAGAAATCGTATTAAAAACATCCAGGTTTTAGTTTTATCATCTTCAAGCTTAAATCATATAAGCAATGTCTTAACAAATTTATTAACAAACACATTTTAAAAAAAATAAATGACGTAAGGAAGTTACTAAGAAGTAAAGCTAAGCATAATAAATCAGCAGGTAGAGATCTTAGAAAACGATCATCTTATAGGTTCCTTTGATTCTTAAGAACAACTATGTGCTGCCTTGTTTAATCTTTTCTTTTCTACTAGCAACGTACCAGGATTAACCCGTCAACAGTTTTGATCTGTTTGTGTACTGGTTGTTGTGAAGGCTACTCTGACATACATGTATGTGTCATATCTATACATAAATGACACTATGACATTTTATAACCTAGTCATTATTTGATACGTTCAGGCCAGGACAACACTATTGGCATCGCAGCTGGAGCAGTTGGTGGAGGTGTTGCTGTTATCGCCGTTGTCATTACCGTCGCTGTTTGTATCAGAAAACGACGTCGCTCTGTCGAAGGTAATGCTTGTAATATAGAGTCATAATCACTCAAAATGATGTGAGGTATATTTCAATTATTACAATTGTATCTGAGGAAGAAGAATGTGCAGTGCTATCCTCCCACATCTGTTACAATTGACATATTCCTCAAAGCGGTATCAACTCACATACTAACATTTACTATTTTCTTCTTTTCCAGACGATGTGAGGGATGAAAGACGGCGTGATAAAGTTCCTTCAGGAAGGTATGTTTTTGCATGCATTTTGGAAATGTGCAGCGTAATTCCCATTGAATATAATAATAACGCTCTCTAGCTAGCAGTCGTGCTTACGGGTGGGTAATTAGTCTCGGGTTTAGAGTTAAAGCAAAGCTTGTGTCTGGGTCCGCTGGGCGTGAGATCAAAAGCTAGATATAACCTGTACATGTTCATAATCCCTGGTCTGTCAGGACCATACCTATGCTTGTTTGTGTGTCAACAATGGGAAAAACATAAAAACACGCTCAACCGGCTATCTGAGTTGCAGTGATATGACTGCATCACTGTTATAAACCACATTTGTTTCCATTCCAACAGCTAATATGCCAGCCGCATCACTTACTAGTAAGCTACGTTAATTAAGAAAATACTTCTTTCTCAGTCATTGTCTTTCATATAAAATATTTACAACTGATTGTGTGTTTATTTGCGGTCCCTTTGATGATACAGTCTGTTCCAAATTATATTTAATGCGACAGTAGCAACGAACCTATCTCTGCTTTGAAAACGCAGCGTTGTGTATCTCCTAAAACATTTGTTTAAAACCTGTATTTATATATTGCCAATATCACATTTAGGGCTGCGGTGCTGTCTGAAAGTGGAGTTTCCGAAGTGGAAGAAATAGGTAAGTCACTGGTATGGTTCTGAGCCTTTGTTATTGACACTTGTGTACCAATGACATATTTTGAACAGGATATGTATTGATCAATTTCATAATGACATAAACAGGAGGATATAAATTAGCATGACATTTAGAAACCATCAATATCCTTAAGGCTTAATCCATGGTTGTTTCTGCAATCGTTATTTAAACGTGGGTATATCTGGATGCTTATACATATCCATTTCATGCATATTTCAGTCATGCAGGACAACCTATTATACACAAGTTCGTTGGATGTAGCGCCGGTTGATTACAAGATACAAGATCACAACCCCGTCGTTAAAGGTGACAATGCATTCCATGCCCTGCTTGTAAATACTTGTCTTATGCAAATTGTTATTGGAATATCATTAGTGTAACTTCAAAATAAGTAGCATGCCTAATTGAAGGACTGTAGGATTACTTATCTATCTGTCAAAACTTTGAGTCTCCCAGTAGTCTTCCTTATTACTTCTGTCTTAAAAGTTATTATCAAAGGCAGCACCCGTCCTCTACAAAATGCAAACACAAAAGAAATGTTTAAATTCCTACATGTATGTTCTACCAATATGAACTTACATGTACTTCACAAAAACAGATGAGTAACATTGCCTTGCTCAGAAATAACTGATTAATATACTCTTAGCTCTTAGGGGTGAAGTGAAATGAGGTTTAAGGTCGCGTCCAAGATCATTACACCTACATATATATATATATATATATATATATAGCGACGTGCATGTACGTGTGTATGCCTGCTTGTACTCGTCTGGACTGAAGCCGACTTATAGTGCTAGTTCACTTCCATACCATGCCGCAGTTTAACATGAATACCCTACTCAGACACAGTGTAGTGAAGTGTAGTGACTCCGAGCCGACCAGTCCTTGTTTTAGCTCCTTAATACCGTGCGCCAGACAGAGTAACAACAAGTACCATCTTTTGACGTCTTTTATTCTTAGCTCTTTGAATAATATAAAATTATATTGAAATAACTGCTGTTGACAGATGTTTACGCCCAGGTGAAGAAGGTGAAGGCGCCTGCAGGCCAACATACTGTCACTGATGTGTACGCCACACCAAACAAAAAAGGAAAGGAAACATTTGATACAGGTGTGTATGTCAGAGGCCATTAGTTACACTGAATTCGATTGAGGTAGCTTACAATGAAAATATCTTTCTTAAACAAGTGTAGGCAAGTCGCATTGAACAACTTTGAACACAATTATCAAATGGCTGAACAAAAGGATAATACAGTTCGTCAGGCGTTTCGCAATTTCCACTGTCCGAAACGTGTGCATCTATGACGAAGTAACTTAAAATTTTGTTCCCTTGGTTGCATGGTTAATATCACACAAACACCAGGTTGTGATTTCTAAGGTGCCGTCCCTTTATCGCCTCGAAAGCAATGTCATATTTTTCAATAAGCGTGTAGTCAGATAATTACGGAAGCGTAGTAGGGCCACGGTGTTTTTTGTTTTTTGTCTAAGTATCTTCTACGTAGGACTTCCTATCTCCTACGTAGGACTTCCTATTTCCTACGTAGGACTTCCTATCTCCTACGTACGTAGGAGATACTAAGTCCTACGTAGGAGATAGTTATTCTAGTTCATACCAAGTCCTACGTAGGAGATACTTAGACAAAATAATTTCCGTAGATAATGACGTATTGTCGATGTTCAGTTTTATGGTCCTCGAGCCTTAAATCATAGATTGTTGCAAACTTGACGAGGACAACTGTTGGAACTACTGTTGCCTACGAACGTCTTACCCATCTATCGATCACTGTTTCTGTATTGTGTCAACACAACTGTAACAACAAGAACATTTGGCAATTGTGTAAATGGAACATGTAGGGTGAGGGGAAATGGGATGTAACGTCGCGTCCAATATTCTTGCACTTATATATAGCGACGTGAATGCACGTGTGTGTGTCTGCTTGTATTAGTCTGGTATATTGCCGATTTTAAAGTGTTAGCCCAGTGAGATTGCCGCAATTTAACATGAATACCCAACTCACACACATTATATACAGACTCCGAACCGACAAGTACTTGATTTAGTCGCTTAATGCCGAGCGCCAGGCAGAGTACAATCTTTTAACGTCGTTTGGTATGTCAAGGCGAGGGATCAAACCCCGGACCTTCCGCTCTCCTGGCGGACGCTCTACCACTAGACCACGGAGGCGTTCTGTAAAGAGAACGAATATATTCATGTCTATATGGAAAGTATAGCATTGGTATTTACACACTTCTTACTTTTCTCATAGATGGGTATACCAAGGTGAACAAAGTGAAGAAACCCGCATCAGATAACCCTCAGGACACAAGTGAGAATATTGAGGACATGTACTCCAAACCCCAGAAGAACAAACAGAATCAACAGTATGCTTGTTTAGCTATTTGACGGAAGGTTAAGCGGATGGAAATAATGTTTCATTGCAAATGTCTCTGGCCCTGTCATAGTACCTTGATGACAGGTTAAACAACGCTAACAGTTGAAGTTCAGGCCACACGTCTGTACCCATAGATATGATGACACAGAGCACAATACTGATAACATTATTTGAAGCATATATATACAATACCACAGTGACTTTAATCCGCATCATTTAGTGATAACATTTAGAAAATAGTGTCTGATTTTGTTATCTGTCTTGTAAGTCGTGAAATGTTAAAGTTTTGTCTTTCAGAAGATGACTGATTAGCTGAAGATTGTATCTAAGATGTGCTGGTGATGTTTCTCCATGGTTCTGCTCTTGATCAATGATGTCATCTATAAAACTTTGAGAGCGATCCGGGGCCGTCGGGTTAAAACTGGTTAAAACGTTCGCTCGTCATGGCGTAGACTCGATTCCCCACATGGGTAGGATGTGTGAAGCCTATTATTGGTGTCGCCCACTGTGATATTGATTGAATATTTCTTGAAGCTGCGTAAATCCATACTCATGCACTACACAACGATGCAGCCATGATGCCATCGTTATAATTTTCACGATAATGCTATCTATACATGTTCCATAAGGATGCAATCTATAGAACATCAACAATGATGTCATCCATATACATTTTACCATAAGGTTATCTATATAACTCCACCCAAGGTGCATCTAAATTATTAACATCAACAACGCTGCCATCCATATCTTCCACTATAAAGTTTTCTATATAACTTCCACCATGAGGCTCTCTATATGAATCCCACCACAAGACCATATATTTCTTCCACAAACATGCCATCTATATAACTTCCACCAGAAGGCCATCGATATAACTTCCACCAGAAGGCCATCGATATAACTTCCACCAGAAGGCCATCTATATAACTTCCACCATAAGGCCATAGATATAACTTCCACCAGAAGGCCATCTATATAACTTCCACCATAAGGCCATCTATATAACTTCTACCATCAGGTCACTACACAACTTTCACCACAAGGTCATCTACATAACTTCCACCATAAGGCTATCTATATAACTTCAACCATAAGGCCATCTATATAACTTCCACCACAAGGCCATCGACGTAACTTCCACCATAAGCCCATCTATATAACTTCCATCGTATGGCCTTCGATGTAACTTCCACATAAGGCAATCTATATAACTTCCACCATAAGGCCATCCATGTAACTTCCACCATAAGGCCACGAGCACGGATAGGGTGTTGACAAGCCATGCTTTATTTCTAACCATTCTTGACCACTTATATCTTCTCTTTATGACCATGATTGTGCCTTTCACGCCCAATGTAACCTATCTGGGCAGATAGTTGAGACTGATTAGTCTTTTGCAGTAAATGCACTCTCTCAGTGCCAATCAGCTTTTTGTTATGAATGTTACATAATTATTCACATGTAAAAATACTTTTTTACCATAAGGTTATCTATATAACTCCACCCAAGGTGCATCTAAATTATTAACATCAACAACGCTGCCATCCATATCTTCCACTATACAGTTTTCTATATAACTTCCACCATGAGGCTCTCTATATGAATCCCACCACAAGACCATATATTTCTTCCACAAACATGCCATCTATATAACTTCCACCAGAAGGCCATCGATATAACTTCCACCAGAAGGCCATCGTTATAACTTCCACCATAAGGCCATCTATATAACTTCCACCATAAGGCCATCGATATAACTTCCACCAGAAGGCCATCTATATAACTTCCACCATAAGGCCATCTATATAACTTCTACCATAAGGCCATCTACACAACTTTCACCACAAGGTCATCTACATAACTTCCACCATAAGGCCATCTATATAACTTCCACCATAAGGCTACTATATAACTTCAATCATAAGGCCATCTATATAACTTCCACCACAAGGCAATCGATGTAACTTCCACCATAAGCCCATCTATATAACTTCCATCGTATGGCCTTCGATGTAACTTCCACATAAGGCAATCTACATAACTTCCACCATAAGGCCATCCATGTAACTTCCACCATAAGGCCACGAGCACGGATAGGGTGTTGACAAGCAATGCTTTATTTCTAACCATTCTTGACCACTTATATCTTCTCTTTATGACCATGATTGTGCCTTTCACGCCCAATGTAACCTATCTGGGCAGATAGTTGAGACTGATTAGTCTTTTGCAGTAAATGCCCTCTCTCAGTGCCAATCAGCTTTTTGTTATGAATGTTACATAATTATTCACATGTAAAAATACTTTTTTACCATAAGGTTATCTATATAACTCCACCCAAGGTGCATCTAAATTATTAACATCAACAACGCTGCCATCCATATCTTCCACTATAAAGTTTTCTATATAACTTCCACCATGAGGCTCTCTATATGAATCCCACCACAAGACCATATATTTCTTCCACAAACATGCCATCTATATAACTTACACCAGAAGGCCATCGATATAACTTCCACCAGAAGGCCATCGATATAACTTCCACCAGAAGGCCATCGATATAACTTCCACCATAAGGCCATCGATATAACTTCCACCAGAAGGCCATCTTTATAACTTCCACCGTAAGGCCATCTATATAACTTCTACCATAAGGCCATCTACACAACTTTCACCACAAGGTCATCTACATAACTTCCACCATAAGGCCATCTATATAACTTCCACCATAAGGCCATCTATATAACTTCAATCATAAGGCCATCTGTATAACTTCCACCACAAGGCCATCGATGTAACTTCCACCAGAAGCCAATCTATATAACTTCCACCATAAGGCCATCCATGTAACTTCCACCATAAGGCCACGAGCACGGATAGGGTGTTGACAAGCCATGCTTTATTTCTAACCATTCTTGACCACTTATATCTTCTCTTTATGACCATGATTGTGCCTTTCACGCCCAATGTAACCTATCTGGGCAGATAGTTGAGACTGATTAGTCTTTTGCAGTAAATGCACTCTCTCAGTGCTAATCAGCTTTTTGTTTTGAATGTTACATAATTATTCACATGTAAAAATACTATGTAAATACAGAGTGTCCACGTACTGACATGTATTGGACAAGTTGTAACCGCACAAAAAGCTCCAATAAACCAATAAACACTTTGTCGATGTGTTAACGCATCGAGTAGGTACGACATCTCTCGGGGTGTATGTGTGTGTGTGTGTGTGTGTGTGTGTGTATGTGTGTGTGTGTGTGTGTGTGTGAGAGAGAGAGAGAGAGAGAGAGAGCGCGAGAGAATTTGTATGCATTAAGCTGGACTAAGCTGATTAAATTGTTGTGGGTGAATTTATTTTGTGTATATGTTGCGATGCTACACACAATGTCTATTTATAGCCTGCCCGTTGACAGGGTGAATGTAAATCGACACTAGGAAAACGCGTGCTGCAGACACGATCAAGATCGGTTACAAGACAACTTGAGCAATTGGGTAAACGTGACATTAGTTTACTGGCTGTTATGCGTTTAATGCGCTGTGCGTCTGACCACTAAAAACACTTTAAGATAAAAAACGGGCCAAGGGGAAAGCATAGGCGTTTAACGATATAACTGTGAAAATGATATGTAACTCATCGCAGTTTTGAATTTATTTTTATTATCGATTATTGCGCATATGGATAATTTCTTAGCATTCTATTCTTTCTCATTCTTCGGACATTATCACTCGGATATTCACCGTATAAGAGTAACGCCGCTTTTAACAGTATTCCAGTTATATCGCGGCGTGACAGCTTAATGTGGGAGGAAAGCCAGAAGTGATGCTGGTCTCAGACGTTTACCACCTCGGTGAAATCCACGGGCACGGGTATGGTGCTGACAAACCTAGAAACATAATCGGGGCGAACCGGGACACCACAATTATAGGTTTCTGGTTTCTGCCCAAGGGACGCAAATCTGCACAGCGAATCGGAGCGCCTAAGACGACTGGGCCACCCGTGCCCCCTCACCGTATAAGAACTGACAAGGAGTAAACGAATTAACATTTTACATGTCAATGTCAATATTAATATATATGCAGCGAGATGGAGGTGTATCTGTAATCTTGGTACCATACCCCCTTACAATGAAAATGTTCCTAGGGCATCATGGGGTCACTTAAATTCCGGCACGTCAGTCATTTTATTGGCAGTACGGTACGTCTTTGCTGTCGGGAACCTAGCTCTACATTGAAAGCATCGCTTTACATGCCGTGTTTTAGAAAATACGTAAAATCGAACGCTGTACAGGAGTAAACCTTGGCCTTTGAGTGTGTAATTTCGCGTATGTCGGTAATAAAACGCCTTTTCAAATCTCACATGTTTCACACTCAGCCACGACGCATTCATTTCTGAATTGCTCATCAATATAATAGTTAAATGGCATATATATTGATCAACAAAAGTTCCTGTAACATTGTATAAGATTTAATGCAAAGTTAAGATGTTTTTACCAAATCTGAAACATTTTCGGTTTGCAACAGATAAAAGACTCTTGTAAGCGTTCAAATGGTTTAATTTGTCATACTGACTTCAGAAAATGCGTAATTTCATAAACAACATGAACATGCCAAAATGTCAATTTACAAATCAATAGCGTGCGTGTCCACCTCTGGTTGCGATGCAAGCAACACATCTTCGTCTTATGGAATATCCTGTGGGATATCTGTCCATATCTGCTGGAGCATGTTTCGAAGTTCCTGGAGTGTCTGTGGAACACGTGGTTGACGTCGAAGGCGCCGATCCATCTCATCCCACATGTGCTCGAGTGGTGAGAGATCAGGGGAGCGAGCCGGCCAAGGGATGACATTCACGTTGTTTTGTTGAGGAGAATCCTGAACAAGTCGAGCAATATGACGCTGGGCGTTGTCATGTTGAAAGGTAATGCCTGGGCCATGACGACGCAAAAACGGTAGAACAATAGGGCCGATGATCTCGTCGCGGTAGCGCTGTCCATTGAGATTACCCTCTACCACTATCAAACGGGTCCTATGTCTTGCTGTAATCCCACCCAATACCATAACGCTGCCGCACCCGAACCGTTCTTCTTCCATGACACAATTATTGACGTAACGTTGACTTTGAGGTCGGTACACTCGAATCCGTCCATCGCTGTGGCTGAGGTGAAAACGAGATTCGTCAGTGAATAGAACGTGTCCCCACTGCATGGCCGTCCAGCGTAGACGCTGTCTGCACCACTGTAGACGTGCTTGACGGTGGTTTCTTGTCAAAATGGGACTTCTGGCGGGTCTTCTTGCGTACGGTTTGTGAAGATATTCGTCGAAGTCCAGGGATGCTTCTTACGGTCACTGTTGCTGGCTGGCATCGATTTCGTAGGTGTGTTGTTCGAATCCAATTGTCTTGTCGATTTTTGGTTACGCGTGGCCTGCCACTCCGAGGATGGTCTCTGACTGCATTCGTCTATTGCCAACGTTGCCATAAATACCAAATGGTGTTTCTATGGACGTTAAATTGCCTTGCAACATCACGTTGACTCGATCCTGCTTCAAGCATACCAATGGCTCGCAGACGCTAATTTTCGGACAGGCGTGGCATTTCGTAATGTTGAATAATTGGGTAATTTTGTTGTTTTTCTGAGTGGTTGTTGTCAGCATGATGGTAAACAATGAATATGGAATCCCGTTAACACACATGTTTTTATACCCATTTTGGGTAGTGAAATGCATGGGGCTTGCATAAAAGTCAACTTTTGCATGGAATGCATACTTTTCTGGAGCAGTTGCGTTTTTGTGACTTGATTCCATACATATACTACAATATTGAAAACCAAACTTTACTTGTTTGAAAAATACACTTAAATATTTGTGTAACAGGAACTTTTGTTGTTGAGTATATAGAATCCTACCCGAGTGTATTTTGATATCAAATATATCAACACGAGTTGATAAAAGTGGACAAACTCCGAAGCTTGCCGAGGATTTTTCCACATTTATCAACAAGTGTTGATATGTTTGATATCAAAAGACAGGAGGGTGAGAATTTATTTATCATCCAACATCATTCTTCCAACTTTTTCAGTTTGTAGACAGTAGTAAACAGTGTCCTACGCGTAAGACAGCTTCAAACAGCTTCTGGCAGAATCAGTAGCACAGAGTCATTAGTGATGGCATTTGATTGTGACGTCATGGTAACCAATGGCGTCACAATGGTCTGCAAAGCATTGTGATGCAATTTCGTTGCAGCGATATCTTCAATGTTGATATCGCTTGATCTCAGCCAAGCGATATCTCCTGTTGGAGCCAGTTTTGGATGATGAGATCTATTAAACTACACTACAAATGGTCTTCATGAAATCAAGCGAAATAGATTTAGGTGTGAAACTAAACTGTTTGAAAAATAAAACAAAGCAAATGTAAGATTTTCCACTGTGTATCATTTTCTACTATTTTAGTAGATCCATCCGTATATCCGTTGCATACATTGGCTTTCGTTGTTGAAAAAATGCATGGAAAATAATCGAAGCAAAAACTATGGATTCATAAATAAACATGTTCAGAAATGATTAGAGTTTAGTTCCGTGAGACGCCCTTACAAGGGCATAATCACGGTCTCTTGGTTACAATGGAAAACAAAAACAAGCACTAATTCACAGAATTCTAATTCCTTATATATATGACCCATTTATAAATCAACGAAAATCCCAAATTTTCAGAAAACACGCCATTTATTGAAGGGATATCGCCGGTAGTGATCTTATAAAATATACGTCAAGATTGTTCTGCGTAGTTTATTTCTGTGAGAATGGAAGAGACAAAAGTGGCATGTATCCAATTTGATGATCCAGCTTGACGTTCTTCATCGGTGGAAATTTGCTGATTTTTAAAGGATTTCGACCAGTGATATCGACAAGGTAACTGACATTCAGCATGACCGATTGTGTTGTTGCTCATTGACGGCATAGGCTTGTATCAACGTCTTTATGGTCGACTTGAGGCAAATCGTGGTACCTTTTGCGCGAAGGATTGGTCGCCAGTTTGAAATTAAATATGATAATTCTCACCAAAACAGAGTTCAAATGTGAATGGATGGTTTACGGAATAGGGTAACCCGGGACGGCTTGGTCAGCGAAATGTTCCTCATTAAAAGAAGGTGAACATGCAACGGATGACGTTAAACGCAGTTAGAGCCAACATCTTGTAGCCCAACAAACTTGATCTACAATCTGTAGCTTTGCAGACTGTGGATTCTGCGGCCTACCATCGGGACCCTGAGCATGTCAAGAAACAAGAAAGTTGCCCGTGTCCAAAGTGGTCGTCATTAACATTTTTAGAGTGGCATACGATATAGCTCTCGAACATACCAGCCAGGATCAGCGATGTACTATGAGATCCTTATGTCGCACTTTTACAAAACTGCATACACACCGAATCCATGTATAACTCATATCGCCGTCACCCGCTAAGGTGAGGTGAAATGGGGTTCAACGTCGCGTCCAAGATTATTACACCATAATAGCGACGTCCATGCACGTGTGTGTGTGTGTGTGTGTGTGTGTGTGTGTGTGTGTGTGTGTGTGTGTGTGTGTGTGTGTGTGTGTGTGTGTGTGTGTGTGTGTGTGTGTGTGTGTGTGTGTGTGTGTGTGTGTGTATGTATGTGTGCGCGCATGTAGGTGTGTATGCCCCAACAACAAAAACAGAATCCATCATGATAACGGCACGAAATCATAATTCACAAGCATACACAAATGAAATCCGGTATCTTCGGGCATGTCTTGTTGAGTTTCAAAGAGCATCAGAATGTATAATCAATTTGTTGCAATCAATTATTCCTGAAATAAAACTGATCAAAATTGAAAGGATGGAAAATCTATAATGAAAAGGGTTTTGTCACTAACGTAAATATTCTCTTTGACCTTATACGAAGAGTATTCTAAGATCATTAAACTCGGCAATCGTTGGTGGATTGCGCCAAGCAACCTTGATACCAAATTTGGTACCTCACGTATAATGCGGTACATGATTTTCGAAACAGATAATTACGTTTTTCATAAGTTATCACTAATTTGTGACATATATACGGACAAACATTACCTCAGAGGATAATCTTCTCTGGGGGTTTAAGAGGATTAAAATAATTCCAGCTAACATCAAGCACTGTAATAAAATATTGAAATTATAGCATACCTTCTTAACATTTCAGTGAAAAGAATAGTGACTAACTAAGAAACCAAATTATATTTATCTCCGATACTATGCCCTCATCAGTATAGACACACACACATATATACACACCAACACACACATATACATACAAACACATACACACATAGGTATGTATGTATGTATGTATGTATGTATGTGTGTGTTTGTGTGTGTGTTTATGTATGTGTTTATGTATGTATGTATGTATGTATGTATGTATGTATGTATGTATGTATGTATGTATGTATGTATGTATGTATGTGTGCGCGCATGTAGGTGTGTATGTAATGACAGTTAATGTGAGCTCTATGTCATTGGTATCACATATATGACTGCACTTCTACATACTCTAGATGACAGTATCATGTACGTAGATGAAAGTATGTAAGTGGACGATAGTATCTAGATTGCATACTATCTGCTTGTACTAGTCCGGACTGATGCCGATTTATAGTGCTAGCACACTGAGATACCATGCCGCAGTTTAACATGAATACCCCACTCAGACACAGTATACTGACTCCGAGCCGACCAGTCCTTTAGCCCCTAAATGCCTAGCGCCAGGCAGGGTAACAACAAGTACCATATTTTATTGTATTTTGGTATGACGCGGCCGTGACCGGCTTAGACTGAAAAAGCTTATTAAGCAAGGATAGGTATAATAGAAAATAGGTATAATGGAATATAGGTATAATGTTGACAAGATGTAGATGTGAAAATGAAACAAAAAAGCATTTGATTTCTTTATTACATGACGTGCACACAATATTTCAGATTCTATCAGGGTTTTATGTCAAATGGAATAAAACATAACACAGAAAAAGATTAGAACTGAACAGTATTCATTACTCGAAGTCCATAATACTGTCACTCGACATTTTCTGATCAGTTACAGACAGACAGATAGACAGTTTATTCAGTAAGAAGGCCATAGGCCAATAATACAGACATGCCAAGGAAGTAATCGATTTAAGTTTCTCTTAGCCGTTGGACTTTATATAGATATAAACATGTGTTATATAAAACATCAAAGTTTTCTGGTGAAATAATTTCAGTAAAAGATGTTACAGTTTGAAACTTGATATACTGTTTAAGATACATATTTCTTAGGGCTGAATAACGCTCACATAACAAGCAAAATATGAAATTCATCTTCAATAAAAGATGTACCATTTTCCATACAATATTTACATAATCGTTCAGTGTATGGGACATTTGTGTATCTCCCCAAGTCAACTGCAAGCTTAAACTTGCTACATCTGAAAAGGGTCATACATATTCTCAGATGAACTGGTATGGGGAGTGTAAGATATTTTTCTACATTTAACAAGGATTTAAAATGTTTATAATAAAAGGTATCAGATATACTATTTATAGAACTACACCATGATTGTTGAAGGGGAAATAATCTTTGTTTAAAAAGATGAAAAAATATCTTCACATTGCCAACAGATTGTGTTAACCATACATATCCAAAACCTAATTTAAACAAAATATTCTTAATGTGAGTAGTCCATGTGGTCTTGATAAGTTACTTCGCTCAAAGTATACAGGAAAACGGAGTGTAATTGATCAGCTCCATCTCAGGCGAGGCTTTTTCAGCTTGTCATATCTCACTACATTCAAGTGCCCACACTTTCATGGAGAATTTGCAGCAGTCAAACTCTCTAAGCCTGATCAAACTCGATCAAGTCTTTGAAACAAGTGAACACGCGTAATTATAGGGTCTCAGAAAGCAAGTCAACCAAAAACGACCAGGCCACTGTAAGTATAATTCAATGATTCAAATTACCACTAAACGCTGAGTATACTCGTATGTGTTATTTTGAAAACCCAAAGAGGTTTCCTTTGCAGCGAGTAATTGTTACCGTTATAAACTGTTCACTTACCCTGTTCAGTGCATAAATCTACATGGCGGGTCATGAAGAACGGTTTGTTTAAGATTGCATTTTCAAATGTGTCCGTGGGAGATAACTGAATGTCGGATATCTCGGCTGTTTGTCATGTGTCGTATGAGTTATTACAATAATTTGGGAGATAAACATATCATGTACATTTAACCGCACCAAAGCTATTTGAAACAAAACGCGCCTAGTTTCAAGATTCTTGAAAATCACTCTGTGTCGACCTCTATTGTGTTTCTTAACAAATAGTTTGTTAACGAATTCCTTCAATATTCACGTTACAGCAACTCTGCAATTTCGAGGCGAGTATTGTGATGATATCCGTCCGAGTGAGTGAGTGAGTTGGGTTTAACGCAACTGTTAACAGTATTACAGTTATATCGCGGCGTGTCATATTAATGTTGGAGGAAAGCCCGAAGTGATGCAGGCCACGTGGTCGACTCGTCTCAACATTCACGGAAGAATCACCGATGGCCTATGCATTAACAGGGATTTTATAGACGGAGACCCTCCAGGCGCCCCCGCACATTGTCCCGGTGTCACCAGCACACTTGTGTGAACATTCATCATCTGATACCATCTCATATCCACTTTTGATGCTGTTTCCACAGTAACATTCGACTCTATTCTGCAAGAAAACAGATAGAATGGTTTATAGGAAATAATAATAATAATAATAATAATAATAATCACCGCATATAGTTTACTATCGGGGGGTCTCATGGCGCATCCAAATTCTTTAATAAATTTGTCTCTCAGACCAATTAATTAAAATCAATTTTGTTCGGCACCTGCTCGGAAAATGTTTGTTGGTAATATGTTTAATAGCCTACACAGAGACCTCGACATTATGAACAGCCCCTGTTGAGTTTACGTTGAAATGTTGAATAATGTTACTCAATCAAATCACTCGGGTCATATTATTCATTCTGACATCAATTGCAGTAAGCTAAACGTTTGTAGCGACCAGAACTGGGATACGACCAGAACTGGGATAAACAGTCCACAATTTCGCAAAACCCCATTTACTGCGGTAATGCTTTCGGTTAGCTCTAAAACACATGGCGATATATATGCGGAATATGATTTAGTTTATATTTTGGGTGGGACCGTACTGAATATGATCTTCTGTATATTTCCATGTCCCATTCCAAATAAATAACGCACATTAAATTCTTCACTATAAATTGGAAACATCTTCAGGTATTATTATTATTTTGTTATTTTGTACTTGACAAATATTCACACGCCTTTCTGTGCGGCAATTCACATTTATGCACAAATGTCAGTGTCTGCGATATTTCTTTTAACAAATTATGTTATAATTAGATCAATAATTGAAATCAAGGATGTGTTTCTACATCACATTGTGGTCACAATAGTATATAGAATGGAATGGAATCGTCCATATTAAAAAAGTAAAGGCGGTGCTTGAGGGGTTTCTGAAATATTTCGGATTGTGGCCGTTAAATAAAAGAGCCTCGACACATTATGCATTCCATTTAGATTTTGTTTTGTTTGTAACTGTAAACAATTTTCCGTAATTCTGTTGTTTGTGGCCCAAATTAACGTGCGGTCTCCTCCAATCCCACGATGTGAATAGAAATGCAAAACATGTATCCTCATTAATTTATTTAATGTAACTGTGCTGAAGGGAATCCTTGTAATTCACACATGAGTAGATGTGAGAAATCATATTTATATAATTTCAAAACAATTATTTCACTTGCCTCTGCATTTAGACAAGCTCTTTCCACTTCTTTTAATTAGTTCGATGGGTTAATTGTATATGGTTTGCCAGAAGATTGAGGCGAAAATTACACAAGATGAAAGTGTTTTATCATTCCTCTTTACAAAGTTACGGGAAAGTACACAGGTACATCGGACATAAAATATACATTACTCAGAATGAAACGCGGGGTGTCAGACATGTTATATACATCATTATAAATGAAAGACGCGGGGGAGTTTGTATATCGGATATAAACTATACATCACTCAGAACGATAGATAACGATAGAGGGTTTGTATCGGATGTATTATATTATACATACTTCAGAATGCTGTAGATGCAGACCAATGTAAGCTTTGAAACATGCTAAGAAGTATCCAAGCTGGATATTGACGATTGTTTCAGAATGGCATTCTACCCACATATATACAAGTTAGTGGTAACCTCAAATACCTCCTTAACTTAACCCTATCACATATACATGATGCAGGTAATGCAAGCTCAGAAGTTTGGTGTGCAAATTTATAATAAATGTATAAATATAAATGTATAACTAACAGATATAAGCGGTAAGACGGATATGACTCCTCATGCATGCATGCACCGGTAATCCAGACCTAACAGAAAGGAGTATATAGTTACTCCATAGTGTTTTAGGAACCAGGCAGCTTCAATTTGAAATAAAGGAAAGATATATTGAAGCAAGTCGAAATAATATATTTATATATCTAGCCTAAAATCACGATGATCCATGGACAGTGCATTGTGTATGTCTATGTTGGGCATTGCTTAAAATATACCCACCGCTTCGCTTGTCATGTTAGGCGACAATCGATGGTTGGTTGGTTGGTTGTTTAACGCCGCACTGAGCAATATTCCAGCTATATGACGGCGGTCTGTAAATAATCGAGTCTGGACCAGACAACACGGACAATCCAGTGATAGACATCATGAGCAACGATCCATGCATTTGGGATACGATGACATGCATCAACCAAGTCAGTGAGCCAGACCACCCGATCCCGTTAGTTGCCTTTTACGAGAAGCATAGTCGCCTTTTAGGGCAAGCATGGATTGCTGAAAAGACCTATTCTACCTCGGGTCTTCACGGGCACCACAATCGATGGACCGGGTGGGCATGCTTGTATAGTGACTTCGTTAATTGTGTGTCATGTACCCCGATATAAATACATGTAAATAAACGATTGGTTTAAGTATGAACAACGTCCCACGCCGACATGTACGATGTCTCGCAATCAACCAAATAACGAACCTGACTACCCGAGGCTCGTTAGTCGCCTCTTATTATACGATTCTAAGCCGGACTACCCATCCGGATCATGGGAATATTACCTGCATGGTCAGCTTTGCTGTTACTGGTTCTTGCAGTAAAATGTTGGTCCACATGGGCAGTGAGCAAAATAGTGATTGATATTATAAGCAAACATCCAGCACGTCGGAGGACGTTGAACCTCCGATCCATGAAGTCACCTAGTAAGACAATTAAAATTAAGCATGTGTTGCTGGGGACCACTTCTACACGAAATCAACTGCCTGAGTGGTCTAGTGGATAGACGTCTGCATAAGGAGTGAGTAAGTGGGTGAATATGTATTTACACTGCTTTTAGCAGCATTCCTGGAGTATCATGGCACGGGACACCAGAAATAGGGTTTACTCATTGAACACATGATGGGAATCGAACCCGGGCCTTCGACGTGACGAGCGAACGCTTTCACCAATAGGCTAACCAATCGCACCCCTGACAGCGGAAGGTAAGGTAAAATACACGGAATAAGATAGTACCCGTGCTTGGCGATTGGCTTTACGTGGATAAACGTGGATAAACACAGTACATATTCTGTTTTACAAAACTCATGTAAGAATCCATGTATTACCTTCACCCTCACTCGGTAAATACAAGAATTTCTGAATTCTGACACTCCTTGTGTAACACACTTACTGGTATAATATTCCCTATAAAAGTACCACTCATGACCTCCCTCAATATTTGCTAAGTTTGTTGTCCTAATCACTTTCAAAAGCTAAAATAAATTATAAATATTCAACAGTTAATAAATTTTAAAGGTGTTATGCCGCTTCTGCACGGTTTGATTACAGTAATACAAGGGTAAATATCTAATCGATAATTAATAAAAATCAGCTACAAGTATTCCATTATTTGTACATGTGAAAGGGCTATCCCATTTCTGGTCAAAGGGACATGAGTGATTATATAGTAAAAGGTCTCTTATAAATAGCAGTATTGACCCATTACATTAAGATTCTGCTCATAAGTGCGAAATATTATTTACTATCATCAAGCGACAAGAAATCTTAAAATTCCATTAAATGTAGATTTTAAAGGCATTATCCCACTTCTGGTCAAGCTGATATGAGTCATAATATAGTCAAAAATCTCTTAAAATTAGAAATATTGACCCATTACATTCAGATTCTGTCCACAAGTGCGAAATATCATTTACTATCATCAACCGACAAGAAATCTTAAGATTCCATTAATTGTAGATTTTGAAAGGCATTATTCCACTTTTGGTCAAGGTGATACGAGTCATAATATAGTCAAAAATCTCTTAAAATTAGAAATACTGACCCATTACATAAAGATTCTGCTCACAAGTGTGAGATATTATTTACTATCATCAACCGACAAGAAATCTTAAAATTCCATTAAATGTAGATTTTAAAGGCATTATCCCACTTCTGGTCAAGCTGATATGAGTCATAATATAGTAAAAAATCTCTTAAAATTAGAAATATTGACCCATTACATTCAGATTCTGTCCACAAGTGCGAAATATTATTTACTATCATCAACCGACAAGAAATCTTAAGATTCCATTAATTGTGGATTTTAAAGGCATTATCCCACTTCTGGTCAAGCTGATATGAGTCATAATATAGTAAAAAATCTCTTAAAATTAGAAATATTGACCCATTACATTAAAATTCTGTCCACAAGTGTGAAATATTATTTACTATCACCATCCGACAAGAAATCTTAAAATTCCATTAAATGTAGATTTTAAAGGCATTATCCCACTTCTGGTCAAGCTGATATGAGTCATAATATAGTCAAAAATCTCTTAAAATTAGAAATATTGACCCATTACATAAAGATTCTGTCCACAAGTGTGAAATATTATTCACTATCACCAACTGACAAGAAATCTTAAAATTCCATTAAATGTAGATTTTAAAGGCATTATCCCACTTCTGGTCAAGGTGATATGAGTCATAATATAGTCAAAAATCTCTTAAAATTAGAAATATTCACCCATTACATTCAGATTCTGTCCACAAGTGCGAAATATTATTCACTATCACCAACTGACAAGAAATCTTAAGATTCCATTAACTGTAGATTTTAAAGTCATTATCCCACTTCTGGTCAAGCTGATATGAGTCATAATATAGTCAAAAATCTCTTAAAATTAGTATTATTGACCCATTACATTCAGATTCTGTCCACAAGTGCGAAATATTATTCACTATCACCAACTGACAAGAAATCTTAAGATTCCATTAATTGTAGATTTTAAAGTCATTATCCCACTTCTGGTCAAGCTGATATGAGTCATAATATAGTAAAAAATCTCTTAAAATTAGAAATATTGACCCATTACATTCAAACCTTTGTTCATAGGTTTGAAATGTTATTTACTATCATCAACCGACAAGAAATCTTAAGATTCCATTAATTGTAGATTTTGAAAGGCATTATTCCACTTTTCGTCAAGGTGATATGAGTCATAATATAGTCAAAAATCTCTTAAAATTAGAAATATTGACCCATTACATAAAGATTCTGTCCACAAGTGTGAAATATTATTCACTATCACCAACGGACAAGAAATCTTAAAATTCCATTAAATGT